TTCCTGCTGGCTCAGCTTGGCCAGCACGGGGCAGCCATCGAGGTGGGGTGCGAGGAGGCCATGTCGGCCATGGCAAATGCACTCACTGCGCCTGCTGAGGTAAGGGGGCGAGCAGCTGGGGGGCTGCCCCATGGGAGGGCGTGGCCTGGAACCCCCAGCGCACCCCAAGCTGGGACAGACACTCCGATCGGGCCGCCTGCGGCTCAGCACAAATCCAGCCTGATGCTGTGGGTGGGTCTGGAACCGCGCAGTGCTAGCCCCCGTGCCCAGTGCTAACCGGGCCCAACCTGCCCCACCCACTTCTCTTCCAGCTGCACCTGCCTCCCCCGATGGGCGCTGGCCTCTACGATGGACTCCTGCTTCTCCTGCTGCAGCTGCTCACCCAGGTACTTGCTGCCCACCTGGAGCCGGCCTTGGCGGGGGGGTGCTGGGGGAGGGGGGGGGGGGGGGTGGGTCAAACCAGGTGCCTCAGACCCACGGATCAGCGCTGACCCCCAGCTATGGAATGGTCTCTTGGAGACCCCCAGGGGGCTGGCTCCTCCAGGGTCAGCCCCGCAGCCTCTCCAGGCCGGACCTCTTGGCCCAGGCCTTGTGCTTCACCCTGTGAGCTCTGCTCCATGAGCCCAGTGGGAACAGAGCCCTGCCCGCCCCTCGCTGAGCGTCTGCAGTGACCTGGGGCCTCCTTGCAGGAACCTGGCTTTCAGAGGGGGCGCTCAGCACTTCTAGCCCACTGGTGCCACCCCGGTGCAGGGCCCCCAGCTCCCCAGATGTGGGACTTGCCCAGGGGAGCGGCTGCTGGAGATGCCACTGGGCTGTTACGTGAGTGCAGGGGCTGGCCCATCAGAGGGAGGTGGAGGCTGGTGAATGGAGGGGGTTTCCCACGAGTCCATCTCTTGGTGTATCGTGCCTTGAAAGCGTCTGAGCCGCGGCTGCAGTGTGGAGCCGGCCTGCCCCTGCGCCCGCGGGGCCAGGCCCTTCCTGCGATGGGAGCTTTGGTTGCGGGCAGGGCTCCAGGATTGGCCCGTAGTGGGGGTGAGGGTGCTCTGCCCCACGTGGCACAGCGCACCAATCGGCGTTCTCCCTCCGCCAGGGTGACGCGGTGCTGGTCCGGGGCTTTGCCGGCTCGGAGCTGTGGAACATTGCCTGGCACCGTGTCGCCATGGTGCTCCGCTTGGCTGCCGACAAGCCGGGGATGGAGGGGGAGACGCCGCGGTCAGGCCAGCCTGCTCCAGAGCCAGACTGGACCCTCATCTCGCCTCGAGGTAGGGAGGGGGCAGAGTCTCTTTCACTGGATGTAAGACTACACATCCCAGAATGCTCTCTGGCCAGCCAGTACCCTGCATCTGGGAGGGGCGGAAGCTGCTTCCTTCCCTCGGGGCAGCTCTTCACATCAGGCAGCGATTCCTCCCCTAGTTCCCTGGCCCACCGCTCCCATTAGCATGGCTCCCTAGATGGCTGAGCGGTGCAGGGCCCTTGGCAGACGCGTGCCCCATGCAGCCCTGCTGGTGAACGTGGAAGGGCGGAAGAACGGCCCTGCGGATAGCCTGGCACCCAGGAGAGGCTCCACCACAGACTTGCTGTGTGAGATTGTCTGTCTGCCCGGGCCTCTGTGTCCCAGCTGCCCCCGGGACAGCAGCCCTGCCTGGTGCTCAGGTACCTCAGTGCCTGCACTAGACCTGCAGCGAAGGCTGGTGTGCAGCCTGTCGCGGGCCTTCTGCCTCGCTCCTGGTCAGAGCTCAGCCCTCCCCTCCGGTCACGGCACCTGCCCGCTGGCCTTGTTAGCAGCTCGATTCTACCTGGCGCCCCCTCTCCAGGGCTGGCCAGCCCCGTTGGCATCAGGGCCATTGGCATGGGAGCTTAGGGAGGCAGGTGACGGGTGCCTTGGACAGCCACAGCCTGCGGGGGGGCCTGCCTTGCTGGTGGCCGCAAATCCCTCCCGTAGCCGGCCTAGGCTCCGTCCTGCTGGGAGGTGACGGTGCCCTACAGCCCTGCTCAGTGCCTGCCAACGTGGGGCGGGTCCCCCTGCCCGTGCTGGGAGCCAACCTGGGAGGAGAGGAACAGGAACGCGGCTCTGGAGAGGCCTGTCACGTTCAGGCACCTTCACGGGGACGTTCCAGCCGCAGGCCTGTTCCCCAGCAGCCCTTGGGGTCTCCTGGCTCACTGAGCTCCAGTGGCTCTCCTGGTCTCGAGCAGTGCAGACCTGCTCACAGGACCGCTCCCCGCTGCCTCAGGCCTGCCCGGATCAGCCCTGCCCAGCGCCTGGGATGGGGGAGACTGCCTCATTTCACCCGTCTGCCGACTTCCCCACCCCCGCAGGCACCGCGCTCTTCCTCAGCCTGGCCCTCGCCGTCTTCACCCGCGAGCCCCACCAGTGTCTGCCTCAGCTGGCCCACCCCCACAGCGTCGTCATGGCAACCTTCAACCAGCTGCTCTCCCTTGATTTCCTGGCTCAGCTGGCGCACACGTGAGTTCCCGCCAGGCAGGCGGTGCCGGGGGACTGGATCTCGGGCACGTGGCATGGGGCTTATTAGGAACCTTGGTGGTGGCAGAGTCGCCCCACTGACTGGGTGTCTCTACACGCTCTGGGAACGGGTGGGGCAGGTCTCCGGCTGCGTTCTGCAGGGGCCAGGCTGATGGTCACAGTGGGTCCTGCTGGCCTGGGCACATGAGAATCTAAGGGCAGCTGAGACACAACGTACCCGCTGCAGATGGCCCCACTCAGACAATGGGCTCAGCATGGGTGGAGGGACCGTTGGTGCCCTGAGGAACCGCAGCACGCGGACCTGCCCATTGGGCTGGCATTGTGGGGCTCCTCCGTCCCTTGCTCTCTGACCTTTCAATCTGTTCCCTCCCATGAGCCCAGGCAGGTGGGGGAGGACGGTGACCCCGAGCTGGTCCCGGCTGTGGTGCTCCAGACCTGCCAGCTGCTCTGCTTCCCCTTCTCCTTGGACGTGGACACAGAGACCCAGATGTGGGTCATGAAGGCCCTGAGAGATGCTGAGACCCCTGCCCATTTGCTCCAGGTACCCAGGGACACTGCGGCGGGCTGGACCTCCTGAGATGCCGCTGACCTAGCCTATTCCGCCAGCCTGGTTCCCTTTACCTGGTCTTGCTGAGCCAGGCACAAAGCGCACAGGCAGGGCCACCTGCAGCTGCCCCAGCACCCAGGTGTTCACACGCCCCTTGGGGTACAAACCCAAAGTTCTATGAAATTTGCCTCCTCCCTCAGTGTGGAGGAAGGTCTGCACAGCCTCTCCCCGTCCCCAGTGAGAATGTACATAAACGGTTATGTTCTAAACCAGCAGGGAGGTTTATTAGCTATCAAAAGGGGTGTGTTCAGTGGTTGAAGAGGTAGCAAACAGAACAAAGCAGATTACTAAGAAAATAAAAGAAAGCTACGCTAGGTTCCCTGGAGAGACTGCCTATGCAGAGTAGTAATTCCTCGCCCTAGATATTGGCTTAGGACGGTAGAGGCCTTCACAGGCCAGAGGCCTTCCTAGCCTGGGTTTGGCAGTTCTCCCCCTCCCCACAAACCAGTCCAAGTCCTTTTTTCCCATGTGTTTTCAAGTGTCTCTTTGGGTGGGGAGCCAGAGGAGACGCAAACTGAAGGCCAAGATGGTATCCCCGCCTCCGACCTCCCCCACCTTACACTGGATTTCCAGGAGGCAGGAATTCTGTGTGTGATTCCCCCACCTCCAGTGGAACAGTTCGGCAGACCCAGAGGGAGGCTAGTATCCGGTCACCAGCGTCCGTGAGTCCGCGGCAGCATGGCCATTGGGCCATAGCCCTGCCTGGCTTTTCCATTGGAGTCCCAGAAGTGTCAGCAGTGGGCGTGACCCAAAGCAGCCCAGGGGCAGCGTTTAAAGCCCCTTGCTGGGGTGGAGGAACGCGCCGCTCCCCGGCTGCCAGATCCCAGTAGCCAGGGCAGTGGTCCTAATGCCGCCTGCCCACATGGCACACGCACACGCCGGGATAGCCTGTTCAGTAACTCGTCGCCTCCAGCCCTGCCTTGCCGAGGGCAGAGCTCTCCTGCCATCGCCAGGGCAGAAGCGTTTCCCCTGGAGAATATGGAATGTGACGTCACGCGCCAGGCTGGGCTCCGGAGCAGGCACCGGGCTCTGTCTGGGTTCTGCCCACCGAACCCTGGAGACTTCTCCTGCTCCTGCCCCTCGGCCGGGGTGCCAGTCCCCAGCCACGCTGACCTGCCTGTCCAAGTCCTCTCAGCAGCTGCCGTCTCTCCTCCTAGGTCTGCTGCCACCACCTGCCCTTCTCGGAGACCGCACTTCCCATGAGCCTCCTGTGCCACCTCGTGCTGTCCGACGAGCAGGTCGTTGACCAGTTGGTGGGGGCGGCCGCGGCCTCGGACCGCGCCATCTCCTTCCTGTCAGCCGTCTTGCTTTCCGACAGCCCTGCGCTCACGATGGACCTCCTCTCCCTCCTGACCCACGTGGCCCCTGCCTGCCCCGCTCACCTGCCTTTCCTCCACATGGTCCTGGCTGGCTCAGACTCGGCCTACCAGCTGCTGAGCCACCTGCTGTGCCACCAGGAGCACTCGATCCGCGCCAAAGCCTGCAGCCTGGTGGGCAACCTGCTGCGGCAGGGCCAGGACTTCCCCCGGGCGCTGCAGAGCCAGGCGGGCCTGCTGGAGCGCCTGCTGGAGCGCCTGTCGGACCAGGACGAGCACGTGCGCAAGTCAGCCAGCTTCGCAGTGGGCAACGCTGCCTACCAGGCCGGCTCCCTCCCGCACGCCCTGGGCAAAGCCGTGCCCCGCCTGGGGAGGCTGCTGAGCGACCCGCAGGCCAAGACCCGGTGTCATGCCGCTTCCGCCCTGGGGAACCTGGGCAGGCAGGCAGCGGACCTGGGGGACGTGCTGATCCAGAACAGAGCCCCCCATCTCCTGCTGGCGCAGTGGGCAACGCTGCCTACCAGGCCGGCTCCCTCCCGCACGCCCTGGGCAAAGCCGTGCCCCGCCTGGGGAGGCTGCTGAGCGACCCGCAGGCCAAGACCCGGTGTCATGCCGCTTCCGCCCTGGGGAACCTGGGCAGGCAGGCAGCGGACCTGGGGGACGTGCTGATCCAGAACAGAGCCCCCCATCTCCTGCTGGCCACTGCTTGCCACGACCCCCAGCCCGCCGTGCGGGAGGGAGCGCCGATCGGCCCTGCCATGCACCCGCGCCCACAGGCTGGTTGCTCACCAGAGTGCTGTAGCTCCTGGAGGCGGTTGCCCAGGCCCAGTGCCCCTCACTACCACCATCTGGGAATTCCCGGCTCTCCTGCTCGGGGCAGGGAAGGCGGGTGGGAATCCCGCATCCCGGGCCATGAAGCCCAGGGGGGCAACCTAAACGATGCCCCCGCCCCATGTGCCATCCAGAGCTCTCAGGCTGCTCCCTGACTCCGTGAGGCCCTTGAGCTCTGCACACGTCGCCTGGAGAGCTGGGCTCGGGCCCTGAGAAGCGGGCAGACGGCGCAGGAGTGTGGCTGCGGCGCTGCCTGGGCTGGCCGTGTGCTGAGGGCCGTGTCTCTTGGTTGCAGGTGCTAGTGTCCCTCAAGGCCAGCGAGAAGCTGCTGGCGCTTTCCCGTAACGACGCTCAGTCCAGATCCTGCGGGAGTCCCCGACCGTCTTCAGCTCATCACTGTAAGAAGCTCATCCACCTTCTGAGGCCAACGCACAGTGCCTGAGAAGAGCCACTGCTCGGGGGGGTCGGGCCATCCACCTCCTGGGGTCGACAGTGCTGGAAACGGGGTGCACCTGTGCTCTGTTCAGAAAGGCAGGCCCCCCCCAGCTCCTGAGGACCCCCCTCCCCCAGTGTGTGAGCCTGGCGCAGCCCAGCGGAGTCAGGGGAGAAGTCACAAAACGTGTCAGAAACAGCTGGGGGAAGTAGCGTGCGAGAGACTGGGCCACCTCCCCCTCGCCGTCCGGTCCCCACTCTCCGACGGGACCCCTCTGGCAGTCTGGGGAGATCATGCCAAGCAACTCGCTGCCCTTCCACAGAACGTCGTGCCCCAGACCTCAGGGACTGATGCTCCAGCTTGTACCACCTCTGCCGTGGCCACAGTCCATGCCGAGAGCCAGGCTGCAGTTCTGACTCCAAGTGCCTTCCAGGGCAGGAGCCTCCAACCCTAACGAGCCAGCTTTCCAAAAGGGGCCTCGTGTACTGGGATGTGCCTTAGTCACCAGGCTGAGCCAGGCCGGGGATCCAGCCCCAATATCCACGGTGCCTTTGGCCTCTTCCCCCCTTCCGTCTCCTCCACTTTGCTCCCACCCTCCTTGTGAGATCCACGGAGATCAGACCGAACTGAACCAGAGCCTGGACGCACCAACCCCACCACCAAGCCTTGATGAGTCAGGGACCCTCTGCGCTCCCAGAGATTAACGGCCGGGTCCAGGCGTGAGCCAGATGCTGCGTTGGACTCCCAGCCGCGCTGGAACTCCTGGGGTGGGCAGGGGTCTGTTCTCAGCTGCAAGGGCTTCTCTGCCACCGTGCAGCTGGGGATTGGCCTCCTGGCTCAGCTTCATGCAGACGGGTTCAGATCTCCTGTTATCCCTGGCGTGTGTGTGTGTGGGGGGGGGGGTTCTGCTCTGTGACTGGGCCTCCTGTTCTACGTGCTCCGTCACTGGGAGGCCCTGCCCTTGGTGGGAGTGAGCTGGACAGTCAAGAGCCACCAGTGGAACCTGAGCATTCCATAATCAGACCTCATGTGGCAACACCAGGCACTTCCCTCCACGTGCCCTCCCTGAGTCCGAACGGGCTCCAGCCAATGGGCTCGCGGTGCACGTGGGGGCCATGAAGCCCTGGACTGGACTTTTCCAGCCTGCACTTGCTAGCTATCTGTAGTGACCATTTCCAACAGCGATTTGGGGGACGTTGGTTTGGAGTGACTTCGAGATTGATTTTTGTACTGTTAGCTGTACTTTTGTAATTTTATTATAATAAAGGGCTCTTCCCTTCCTGGAAAAGTTTCCTGCATAGGAACCCAGTGGTTCTCAACCTGCTGCACGCATGCCCCTGGGAGTACATGGGTTTTCCAGGGGCTACCTCAACTCATCTACAGATTTGCCTAGTTTTACACCAACGTATATAAAAAGCACTAGCAAAATCAGTGCAAACTGACATTTCATACGAGGACTTGTTTCTACACTGAACTGCACATACAAGATCTGTCTGCCGATTGATTTAGGTTATATAGTAGAAGTGACAAAGGAAGCAGTTTGCAGTAGTCATGTGCTGGGGCGCTTGTGCATTTTCATGGCCGCTTTTCTAAACTAGCAGGCTGTGTCTAGACTGGCCAGTTTTTCCGGAAAATCAGCCGCTTTTCCAGAAAAACTTGCCAGCTGTCTACACTGGCCGTGTGAATTTCCGCAAAAGCTCTGACTTCCTACTGTAAGAAATCAGTGCTTCTTGCGGAAATACTATGCTGCTCCCATGCAGGCAAAAGTCCTTTTTGTGCAAAGCTTTTGCGCAAAGCTTTTGCGCAAAAGGGCCAGTGTAGATAGATGAGATTTGTTTTCCACAAAAAAGCCCCAATGGCGAAAATGGCGATCGGGGCTTTTTTGCGCAAAACCGTGTCTAGATTGGCACGGACGCTTTTCTGCAAAAGCACTTTATGCGGAAAAGCGTCCGTGCCAATCTAGACACGGTTTTGCGCAAAAAAGCCCCGATCGCCATTTTCGCCATTGGGGCTTTTTTGTGGAAAACAAATCTCATCTATCTAGTTTTAAGTGCAGTGAAACTTGGGTGTACATGGGACTAATCAGACTCCTGAGAGGGGCACAGTCTGGGAAGGTTGGAGCCACTGCCTTAAAGAAATTAACAGATTTGGGCTTTGGCCAGTGTGTAGAAGGCCCCAGGGAGCTGCAGATTTTACTCTGGAAAACATTCTGGAGCAGCAGAAAATGTGGATCCATGACACTAAGCCAGGGTCTCAAACTCATGGCCCGCCGGCGGTCTCTGCACGGCTGCCAGCATGTGAGTCCCTGCAGCCTTGGATGGGGAGGGGGGTGGCCGTAGCCTTTCGCCAAAACCAGCCTTTGCTCTGCCCCCGCACTGCCTCTTCCCACCCCTGCTCTGCCGTCTCCTGTTGCTTCCTCTTCCCACTGAGGGACATGCCTTGGAGATTACCAGAGGGTCTGGCTGGCGGGGTGGGGGCAGCAGGAGTCGCGGAGAAGCAGAGCAATGCACGAGGCCTGCTCCTCTCCACTGCCATCTCCCAGGCCAGCCTGGTCACAGTGGCCTATGGATGGGACAGGTCTGCACACGTCTCTCTGGGGCCAGCAATGTAAATCGCCCGGGGCAGCAGGCAAGTCTGGGGGACATCTGGCATTGGCCACTGGTGGCAGACAGGAGGACATTGGACTAGATGGACCTTTGGTCTGCCTTCTGAGTGTCACCAACGCCAGGTGCTTGAGAGGATGTGAGCAAACAGGCAGTCACCCGAGCAGCAGAGAGCTCTTTATCGTCCCATCGGAGGTGGGGCACCTCTTCCCTTATGCCCTGTGCTGTCAGTCTGACCTGCAAACTGGTGGTGAGCAGGGGGGCCACAGGTTCCACGGGCCCCTGGACAAGGGGGGGACTTGTTCTGAGGCCATGGCAGAGGTGAGGCCACAGGCAGGAGGGGTGGGCTGGGGTAGCCAGTGCTGGGTCCTTCACGGCACTCAAGGGCCACTTGGAGCAGCGCTCCAGCAGCAATTTAAAGGGCCTGGGACTGTAGCAGCAGCTGCCAGGAGCCCCAGGTCCCTTTGAATTGCAGACCCTGGGGCAACTCCCGTCCTGCCCCTGCCCGCCAACGTCAGCAGGCCTGGGGGCAAGTTAAGTCTATGAGTGTCCACCCAGATGTGGGAGTCTACCTGCTCACTGAGCCCAAAACTGGCACACCTGGAGCAGTTCCCCAGCACCCGCAACACATGGGCATAGAATCACAGAGCACTAGAACAGGAAGGGACCTTAGGAGTCATCCAGTCCAGTCCTCTGCCCTCATGGCAGGACCAAGCACCATCTAGACCAGGGTCTCCCAACCTATGGGTCAGGACCCAAATATGGGTCACCATTACATTTCCAAAGGCTCCCCAGCTGTCTCCCCAGGTGGCTCTGCCCCCCTTTTTCTCCCCGGTTTTGAATTGCCCTGGGTCACCAAGTCTTCCTGAATTGTCAGAATGGGTCCCCATCTGGAAAAGGCTGGGAACCGCTGGGCTAGAGCATCTCTGGCAGGCGTCGGTCCAACCTGCTCCTAGATAGCCCCAGGGATGGGGATTCCACAACCCCCCGGGCAATTGATCCCAGCGTGTCACCCCCTGGCAGGCGGGAAGTTTCCTAATGTCCAACCTAACCCTCCCTTGCTGCTTGTCCTGTCCTCAGAGGCCCAGGGGAACCCCCCCCCCGGGTCTGGAGAGCTGCCTCACGCCCCGGCCAGGCTGATCTTCCCCAGACTCAGCAGCCCGGCGCGGCCAGCGGGCC